AAAAATAACATAGATGAGAAGGAGAAACACAATGGAAATTTTCAATCTATATCGACATTATGATTGGATAATAACAAGAAACACCCACTAAAAAGACCATTATCCATCTAAGTAGCTTCCTAGAAGCAACGAAGATGTTGGGTAGTGCGCAATATGCGTGCATTTAGCCATTTAGAGCTACTTGACTTGGTCCATGTCCCAAATTAAACGCCGGACATAATAGTTCAATGATTTTTTTTTTTTTGTTAATTTTGGAATTTTACTACTGCGTAACCCGTGCGATGTGTTGAGTAAAAAAAAAAATGACCAAAATGGCTGCGCCCATTGGTTTTGAAAGTAGCAGAAGAAGAAAAAATGCATCAGCAGCCCACTTGTGTTGAAAAATGCAGCCCTCGTGCTGATTTTTTAAAAAAAATATGGAGTACACATTTGTGGAAAAAATGGTGCAATTCCCTTCTATAAATATAGGGGTTCTGATACACATCATATCACAACAGAAATACAACAAATACAGAGAGAAAGAGAGAAAAGAAAGGGAGCAGTTTTAGCTTTTGTGTGTATTTGAGTTGTGAGTTGTGAGTGGTTTCGAGAGTGTTTTGTAAACACGAGTGTATTTTTTTTTTCCCAATAAAATATCTGCAGTAGTCCGGAGACGTAGGCATTATTGGCCGAACTCCGTTATCAATTTGGTGTGTCCAATTTTTTTTATTTCACTTTTATAAATCCGACTTTATGGAAATTTCAGCGTATTTTTCCCAACAAGTGGTATCAGAGCCATATTGTTAATTCTGTATTTTTTTGTGTCGGTTACTATTCCGTGAATAGTGAAAAACGGGAATAGTGCCAAATTTGTCGGCGCTACAAATTTATCTACCCACGTGTTCTGAAACACGGTAGTTCACAAAAATTACAGAAACGATCCGGCAGAGAAGTCAGATCAGAGTCGAAGTGATGGCTGCAGACGAAGGAAAAATGAAAATTGAAAAGTTCGATGGTGCGGACTTTGGCTTCTGGAAGATGCAAATTGAGGATTATCTGTACCAGAAGAATATGTATCAACCACTTACGGGAAAGAAGCCAGAAGACATGAAGGAGGAAGAATGGAGTCTCCTTGACAGACAGGCCCTTGGAGCCATTCGGCTGACGTTATCCCGTAATGTTGCTTTTAACATTGCAAAAGAAAAGACGACAGCAGGCCTCATGAAGGCGCTTTCCAACATGTACGAGAAACCATCAGCCTCAAATAAAGTTCATTTGATGACGCGATTGTTCAACCTACGGATGACCGAAGGTGCTCCGGTGGTACATCATCTCAATGAGCTCAACACTGTTACAACCCAGTTGAGTTCAGTTGGGATCGAGTTCGATGATGAAGTACGGGCTTTAATACTTTTGTCTTCCCTACCAGAAAGCTGGAATGCTACAGTCACACCTGTGAGTAGCTCATCGGGAAGCAATAAGTTGAGATTTGATGATGTCCAAAATTTGGTTCTCAGTGAAGAGATCCGGCGGAGGGAGTCGGGTGAACCATCAACCTCTTCTGTATTGCATACAGAGTCGAGAGGAAGAAGTTCAACCAAAGAAAGCAGACATATCAAATCAAAGGG